ACTTCTTGCCCTTCCTTTACAGTGGACACCTCAGGTCTTCTCTGAGTCTTGCCCATCACATGGCCTGCCCTGCCTGCTCTCTGCCATTCCAGAGTAGCTTTGTCCCATCTTGTACCTCCCCTAAGGACATTTAGGTATCTGTATGGAGCAAATGCCACCACACTGGGGGTTCCATGACTGGGCAATATTTATTTCCAATAAAGAGGCCACTAAATACAGAAAACAAATGGGTTGAATGAATGGGTTGAGAACGTGAGCAGTTCACACAGGAAGTCATCATTGGCAGAAAGGGGACGTGATACTAGGCTCACTAATTGTTCAGGAAACACAAATTAGTTTGCATCTATTGCGGGAGCCCTAATGAGGAAATGAGAGGCTGCAGTGCTCAGACTCCCTGGTGTGTGGATTCTGCCCCTTTTGGGAAAGCCGCTTGGCAGGTGGTTTTGAGGTGTGTGTGTTTGTTTTACTGGGAAGATTCCCAAGGCATCCACGACAGCAGCAGGCTGCATGTGGCCCTCAGCCCTGGCCTGCAGACTTATTCTAAAAACGGCTCAGAGGCTCCCTCCCCATACAGGATGGAGCGGTGTATGTGCTGTGGTGATGAGAACATGTGTTTTCATGCAGACAGGTAGGTGGTCTTTGGGGTGGTGGTAGCAGTCAGCTCCCATTTGGGCTGGAGTTGATAGAAGGCAGGCTATGTTCTCTTGGCATCCTCGCTCATGCCACTGTCTTCATTCTGGTTCCCTCTCCCCTCTCCAGGCTTTGTTGCCTTATCATCTCACAAAGCCCTGGGACCTCTGCTGTAGGAGACCCCACTCAGGTGATGCCCTGCCACAGGCATGCCTGCCTGCCTTCCAGCTGACACCCACATCCTTGCCAAGGATCTTTGTTGGGCTTTGCAGTCCTCGAGCCTGGATGGGAGCCCCCCTTGACATGTCACCTAGGCGTCTCTGCTACCCACAGGACCTCTCTATCCAGGGTGGGAGGCCTGTTGCTCCTGGGTGGGTGGGTGGGTTGGTAAGACAGGTTCAGGAGCCTCCTGTTTGTGGTCAGGCCACTGCCTACCAACAGGCTGGCTGAGGTGACACTGCCAACTGGATCTGAGGCCAGAGGCCTGATCTGATGCTTCACAGACCTCCAAGATTCTTGCCTGTCCAGTGTGGTAAGGGCCAGGGCTCAGGGACAGACTCCTGGTAGCATTTCTCAAGGTCTGCAGACTGACTCTATCTGGAATGTCCAAGTACTGCTTCCCACACAGTGCTCAGTGCCCTGCCTGTCATGGCCAAGAGTGGGGCAGAGCCAGAGGGGTGAGCCCCTCAGGGAGATTCCGAACTTCCATGAAGCGGGGGCAGAAGGAGGGAGACAGGGGTAACATTTTTCACAGGGCTGAGGGCCTCTCTGTACACCACCCAAGTTATGGCAGAGCCCGCAGGCCTGACCTGTCTCAGCTCCTGTGAAGCTTCCAAGGAGGGTCCTGGCCGTAGGGTGTCTGCGGCACCAGCTGTCTGCCAGTCCCAGGCTGCCCAGGTGTTCTGCCTCTCTCTCCTTCTGGCAGTGGGACAGTGTCTGCCCAAGGACAAGGACACTCTGTGCTGCTGGGCGTGCTTTGCGGGGACTGCTGGTCCAGGAGTGTATGGGGACCTAGGGCTCTAAATATACCAGAGTGAGGTCACTAGGGTGGAAATAGGCCATGTGGCAAGCTCAGGACCCTACCAGGCTGAATCCCAGGGCTGGGGACAGGGAGCTGGTGGCCCTGCTCTCCCTGTGCAACTGGCCTCCTCACCATGCAGTCTCCTTTTGCACCACATCCCTACTCGAAGGCACATTAAGGTGTGTAGGTGGTTGATTGTGTCTCCTCTCAGATCCGCCTCTTTAGCTCAGTTTGAAGTAGCTTTCTAGAGACAGCCACAGCCCCAAAGAAAACATCATGAGACGAGGCCGTTGTTGCCAGGGCGCAAATTGGCCCCTGGCAGAGGGGCAGCTTTGCGAGAGCTCTGTTGGGCACAGTGAGGGCTTCTGTCGTGATCTGTGGTCACTGCAATTTACACCCACACTGCCTTTAGCTGGAAATGGGGCAGATAAAAAAAAGCCAGGAATACACAATGCCAGCAGAGTAACAGCCCCACATCCTAGTCACCGGTACCTGGGCACATGGTACCTTACATGGCAGAAGGGACTTTTGTGACTAAGGGAGCAGACCTGGATTGTCCAGGTGGGCACAGCCTGATGTCATCAACTAAACAAAATGGTGATGACATATGGAATCTTTACAAGCAGAGACCATTTCCTGGCTGGTCAGAGGTGTGGTGCGGGGTTGGGGTGCAAGCCAGGAAATGCAGTGCCTACCAGAAGCTGGGAATGGCCTTCAGATGACAGCCACAAAGAGAACAGGGACTTCAGTTCTGCAGCACTGAGGAACTGAATCCTGCCAACACCCGAAGGAGCAGGAAACGAGCCCCAAAGGAGGGTAGTCTGCCAACATCTAGATCACAGCCCAGGGAGACCCAAGCACATTTCTGACCTTCAGACCTGGGATGATGCATGCATTTTGTTTAAGCCACTCAGTCTGTGATCATGTATGAACACTTTGGCAGCAAGAGGAAATTGATACACCATGGTGCTGGCAAAGATAGAAAGATAAGGGAAATAGGCTTCCTCACCTTCCAATGGGAGCAGCCTCCCTAGGGGCTAATTACAGTAGTTCATGGCCTGGGAGCCCACAGCCCCTTTGGTTGCTTGTTTGTTAGACCAAAGTCACATCTGATAAAGGTAGTGATAGCAGCTTTGTCTATAACAGCCAGTGAAATACCCAAGTGTCCCCCAACTGGCCCTGCTCGGTGGGGCCTCCCCTCACTGGAAAGCTGAGCAAAAGGAGGGGTCTGTGCTGCTGGGCATTTCAGATGTTAGTGAGAAAGAGCAAGACATAAAACCATGTTTTGTTTTTTTTTAAATATGTGATAAGTATGTGCACAGGCTTGTGTATGCAAGGAATATTTCTTGGAAAGCTACAAGGAGATGCTGCAGTGGCTGGGTGGAGATGTACCTTTCCTTACTGTATCATGTCTACATAACTCTGTGTGTGTGTGTGTGTGTGTGTGTGTGTGTGTGTGTGTGTGTGTAGGGGGTGATGTGCTCACTGTGTGATTTTGGTGGGAGAAGAGGCTTACTCCAGATGTGGGCTTCCCTATTCCAGCCAGCCCACTGGAAACCTGCAGCTGCTCGGTTGATGGAGATGTAGCCGTTCTTATTCTCTATTCAAATTCTTCAGCAAGAATGTTTTGTCAACATGTACTACTAGGCCAAGGCTTGCCTCTTCATTAGCGGTGTCTTTTAGTAAACCTAAGTTCTTGGATTTTGATTAAGATAGTTTCCGGTTTGTCCATATTTTTTCTTGAATGGTTAGTGTTTGGGGGTTCCTAAGAAATCTTTGTCTACCCCAAAGTGGCAAAGATCTTCTCTTGTTTCTTCTAGAAGCCTGAGAGTTTTTGCTTTCATATTTAGGTCTATGATTCATTTTGAGTTAATCTTGAAGTGCTTGGTGTAAGTGGAATCAGCCACATATATTTTTTTAATATGTCTTTATTGATCTTAGAGGGAGAGGGAGATAGATAAAAACATCTATGAGAGGGAAATGATTGGTTACCTTCCTGCATGCGCACAAATACACGTGCACGCACACACATGATCAAGCCTGCAACTCTGGCATGTGCCCTCACACACCAGCCAGGTAGCCATATATATTTTATGTGATACTTCCCTCCCCGTGGTTTGAACTCCATTTTATTAGCACAGTGGGGCCTTGACTTACGAGTGTCCCGACTAACAAGTTTTTCGAGATACGGCCGATTTTTTGCTTTGAGTTTCGAGCTAAAATTCGGGTTACGAGCCAGCTTCAGATACCCCACTGCTAGTTGGCGCAGCGAATGTCACAGTGAATGCCACAACATCAGCCCAGCATCACGTGTCTCACTCGTTCACTGTTGATTTGACATACGAGTAATTTGAGTTACGAGCTCCGTCACGGAACGAATTAAACTCGTAAGTCAAGGCCCCACTGTATACAAAAGCTGCAGTTTGCTCATTTCTATGGCTCTTGAATTTCTCACTCTGTTCCTTCAAACTCCTAGAGGACACTGGTGTCATCATAACGTTTGAACATGTCACCTGCAACTTTCTGTATCATCTCCTATCTGTAAAATGTGATGATAATAGTATCTATCCTGGGGTGGTTGTGACAACTAAACCAAGGTGGTGACATATGGGAACATGTATTAGTAGGACAGGGCCTGTCTTGAAGCAAGTATCATAAAGGGTTGTAATTGCTTGGTCATAAGATGTACATACGTGTTTGTACTAGAGAAAGCCCATCGCTCCCCAGTCAGCTGTGCCAAGAACTCTCTGGCATTGTCAGGTACCATTTCTGCCAGGTGGGTGTGTACAGTGTGTTCACGTGAGGGTTCGGTCTACACTTCCTGATTACTAGGAGACTTGAGCACTGATGCTACAACCTCCTGTGTTTTGCTCAGGGTCTCTGTATGTTCCAGATTGGGATCACTGGGGCCTTGTGGCATCTGTCTTGTCCCACTTTGACTTTTTGCTCTCTTTATAGTTTCTTTGGATGAACTCTAAAGGTCTTGTTAAGGTAGCCAAATCTATTGGATTATTATGTATCGATCTTTTCTTTTAAACTTGGTATATTTTATTTAACACTTTAGCCTCCCACCTCATCAAATGGCAGAGTAGAGTGTATCTCTTTGATCAAGAGCAGATCTTGTTTCATTAATGTCATGAGTTTTGGTTGTGTGACAGACACTCGAGAGTGTGGCCATGTACATGGATAGGAGAGGAGAGTGAGTGCTGGGTGCCATGTTGCCCCCGGGCAGAGGTGTGCAGCAGGGGCTTCAGAGATGCCAGCTCCACTGGCTCTTGGTGTGGGAGAGGTGGAGCAGGCTGGGGTAGGGAGAAGGGCAGGGGTGTGATGAGTGGCTCTTGTCTTGCAGATCCGGAACATGGTGGCGGTGTTGGAAGTCATCTCCAGCCTGGAGAAATACCCCATTACCAAAGAGGCACTGGAGGTGAGTGTCCCAGCCCACAGCACGTGCTTGAGAGTGTCATCTTTCCTTGGGCACTGAGGAACCTGGGGTGGGGTTGGGGGTTCAGTCCCAGAGTTGGGGTTCCATCCTCCGCAAGATGCCTTACACTCTTGGGGAGGGGGTGAGGAGGGTACCCAGGGGAGACTGCAGTGGGTGTCGCTGGCCCTGGGCTCTTTTGTTTGCTGTTGCCTTTCCCACAATGTACTGTCATCCAGAAAGCTTCCTTGACAAAGGGTCCTTGCAGTGGCCTTGGCGCCAGTAGCCTGCAGGATGGTGCTTCTGAGAATGCTGCCTCTGGCCCTGGGACCCTAGGGTCTGAGGACTATATTTGAGAATTTAGATGTCACAAAGGACCCAAATTCCCCATAGGTTTTGTGTCTGGTAAGCCAGTGGTTTAGGGGCCACAGGGGGACTCCGTCTCAAAAAAAGTGCCATGGTCTTTCTCTGGTTGTAGGAGACGCGACTTGGGAAACTCATCAATGACGTCCGCAAGAAGACCAAGAATGAAGAGCTCGCCAAGCGGGCCAAGAAGCTGCTGCGGAACTGGCAGAAGCTCATTGAGCCTGTGCACCAGAATGAGGCAGTGCTGCGGGGGCTGGCAGGTGCCCCTGGCTCTGCTAACGGGGGTGCCCACAACTGCCGGCCAGAGGTGGGGGTGGCCAGCGCACCCAAGAGCATCCATGACCTGAAGAACCGCAATGACATCCAGAGACTGCCTGGGCTGCGGCTGGACAGGCTGGGCAGTCACAAGCGCCGGGGGGACCAGCGTGACCTTGGCCACCCTGGGCCACCTCCCAAGGTCTCCAAAGTAACTCATGACTCCCTGGTTCCCAACTCATCACCTCTCCCCACCAATGGGATAGGTGGGAGCCCCGAGAGCTTCCCAGGTCCCCTGGACAGTGGCAGACACGTGGGCCCTGAGGGCAGCTGCCTGGAGCAGGGCGAGAATGACAAGCACAGCATCAAGATCCCCATCAATGCTGTGAGGCCGCACACCAGCTCCCCAGGTCTGGGCAAGCCCTCCGGGCCCTGTTTGCAAAGCAAGGCTGCAGTGCTACAGCAGCTGGACAGGGCGGACGAGACCTCGGGACCTCCCCACCCCAAAGGGCCGCCTCGCTGCTCCTTCAGTCCCCGGAACTCACGGCATGAGGGCTCCTTTGCCCGGCAGCGGAGCCCATACTCACCCAAGGGCTCTGTGCCCAGTCCCTTGCCTCGGCCCCAGTCGCTCGATGTCACGCAGGTGCCGTCACCACTGCCACTTGCCCAGCCATCCACACCCCCTGTGCGGCGGCTAGAGCTGTTGCCCAGTGCTGAGAGCCCAGTGCACTGGCTAGAGCAGCCTGAGGGCCACCAGCGACTGGCAGGGCCGGTCTGCAAGGCAGGGCTGTCGCCAGCTGAGTCCATCCTACCCCGGGCTGGCTTCTCCCCAGACTCCTCTAGGGCGGACAGTGATGCAGCCTCCTCTGGTGGTTCAGACAGCAAAAAGAAGAGGAAACAGCCTCGTGACTACACGGTGAACTTGGGCGGCCAAGTGGCCGAGGCAGGCGTCAAGCCTGTGCGGTTAAAAGAGCGGAAGCTCACCTTGGACCCCATGACAAGACAGATCAAACCTCTGACCCAGAAAGAGCCAGTGCGGGCCGACAGCCCTGTGCACACGGAGCAACCCAGGACAGGGCTGGACAAACCCGAGGCCAAGACCAGCCTCCAAAGCCCCTTTGAGCAGACGAACTGGAAGGAGCTGTCACGCAATGAGATCATTCAGTCCTACCTAAGCCGGCAGAGCAGCTTGCTCTCATCTTCGGGCGCACAAACCCCAGGGGCCCACCACTTCATGTCTGAGTACCTGAAACAGGAGGAGAGCACCCGGCGTGGGGCCAGGACGCCACACGTGCTACTGCCTCCAGGCCCATCCACTGACCTCCCGGGGCTAAGCCGCCAGGTCACGCAGAACGATCTGGACAGAATCCAAGCCCACCAGTGGCCAGGGGTGAATGGGTGTCAGGACACACAGGGTAACTGGTATGACTGGACGCAGTGCATATCGCTTGATCCGCACGGTGACGACGGGCGATTGAACATTCTGCCTTATGTTTGCTTAGACTGATTGGCCCCTCAGCCTCTAAGTGCATTCCCACCTTGCAGTTAGCAGGAGGGTGGCCAGGCCTGGAAGCCTCGTGGTTTGGAGCCCAGCTGAGGCAGAAGGGAGGGGCGGGAGTCTTAGGTCTCTCTAAGCTCTTCCCTCAAAATTCTCCTTCTTTTGTGAAATGCTGCTACCAGTTTACTAACAAAATTACAAAGGAAGGACCGCGTGGAAGGAAGGCCGGCAAAGTGAGTTCAGAACTCTATAGCAAACCAGCTATAAAACGCGTCAGCTCCCCACCCCAGGAGAGGTGCGGACACTTCCCAGCATCCATGAGCTGGGACCTCAGTTGCAGGCAGGCACAGAAAACCTGTGGGAGAAGTTACCTTTAACACAGTGACAGAAGCATGCATCGCATCTATCTGCATTTTCTGTTCTTTCATTTGGCCCTGAGTGTTTGAGGCAGTGGGCAACCTCATGGCCTATTTGCACCCCATCCAGCCAGTGTTTCCATCATGGTGCCAGATGTAATGAGCTGCTGGCATCAGGTGGGCCCCTGGCCAGCCTGTTTGACCCACACTCCATGGGCATCCACACATGAGTATTTTGTTTCAGTTCAAACTCACTTTTAGAAATGCTGTTTCGTTTCAGTTCAAACTCACTTTTTAAAGAAATGCTGCAAAAATTTGTTTTCTAGAGTTTATTTTATTCCATTTCACCACCAGCCAAATAATTTTCCTTTCTATTTTTTCATTTTCCCTTTTCTGCACATATCTAGAAAACTTCACCTTTCTAGAGTCTCATCCCCAAAGCAAAAGGTTCCCACAGGTGCTACTGGTGTGTAAAGCTGTACTGTTGGCAAGGAGACCTGTCTGTGCGCTGGAAACACTCATGACCATTCCTTTAGATTCGTTTGCCTTATGGTTGTCATAACGCGATTTGCAAAAACAAGGAGCCTTAGTGAATGTACAGTATCTAGACTTCTGTGTTCTCAGGATGCAGAAGGGAGCAACTTTGCTATTTGGTCCAGTAAGTGGACACCTTGTGATATAAATGTGGAAATAAAAAATAAAAAAAAACCATTTGCACAAACCGGTCTGAGAATCATTTCTAATTTGGTCCTTTACAGCCAAATCTGTTTATTCTGGATGGGCCAAGAAAACGTGTTCAAGGTTTGGGCCCTACAGTATGAGTCTGTACAGAAGTGGGTAGGCAAAGTGACCAAGTCAGCCTGTTAACATTCTTCATGGACACTGACCTCCATCTGCCTTTCATTTACTCAGCGTCACATGTTGCCTCTCCCACCTCGAGTCATGTACTGGCTTTGGGTGATAGAGACCAAGGCTCCACATTCAAGGAATGTTACCCTATCTCCATCCAGGCCTCACCTGCCCCAGGGAGATTTTGTGACCTTTACTTACCCCCTAAAATAGTTATAGTTTTTATATGGCATGGCACAGAGCCATGTCTGGCAGTGTGCCTCCTGGCCCTGGCCCCAAGCTGCCAACTCCCCATGCACACCTGGAGCTTAGATCTGGCTGGTGCTGATTTTTTTTTTAAATAACTTTTCTTCCTTGACTGTAAAGGGATAATAATCATTTAATTCTCCACCTTTGTCCCTGGAACAATTAGATGACTTTGGTTTTCTAGTTTTTCCACTCCAGGATGGTCATCTTGGACATATCTACTTAATTTCACAGATGAAGAAGCAGCTAACCCTTAAGAAGGGTAATCTCCTAGGGCGAACCCAGAGGTCCAGTCAATCCAGAGCCACAGTTCTAGAGCCAGTGGGGTTATCTGACAGCCTTCCTTGGTTTGGTGTAGGACACACCCACCCCAAGAAGGCAGTGTGTGAAGTGGTTTTGAGGGCAGTCTAAGGCTGAACTCTGGCCCTGCTATCTACCAGCTGTGTGGTTCACTTCACTCCTGTATGTGTCCCCATTTGGGAGATACAAGTGCTTGCTTCAGAGCTGTAAGACTAAGTTAAATGATCAAAGTTTTTTAAGAAGCACTTCAGCGGAACCATCTGTGCTGTGGAGTAACTAGTTACTTTCCTAACCTCAGTGTGCCTGTTTTTCTCACTCTTAATGTGGCCAGCCCTGCTGCCATGTGGATGTCTGAGGAAGTGACATTACTCTGTGACAAATGGTGACCCGCACAGCTGGGAGATATGAGGGTTCAGGTTAGTGTCACAAGTATATCCTTTCCTCAGACCTGGGCTTTGGGACAGGTCTCTGCTCCTTGCTGTAGGGATCACCTCTCCTGTCTGAGTATCCAGTACGTCCCATGGTAGATACTGCCTGCCTTTGAGAACCCAAGTTTAAGATAAGGTTTCTCCTCCAATATTTTGGAGATCGATGGACTGCCACTTTCTAATTTGCCAAGTAAGGACACTGTAAGAGAATTTTAACACCCTTCCGATCCCCAAGCCCACTCCCAAAGTTATTTAGTATATGACTTGGAGCAGACGAAAGTCCTTCAAGTAGTACAAGATCATCTTGCTGAGAACACCGTCTTATTTTCCACCGCGGGGGTCCTGGGCATCAACAGATGGGCGCGGCACCTCCCTCTCCCACAGAGCCCTGGAGACAGTGCCCGAGGAGGCTGCCCAGTCTGGGCTTCCGGTCTGTCCGCCTGTGAACTGGAGAGGGTCACACCTACCGCACAGAGCACGTAGCGGCAGTTCCCAGGACGTGCTCCAAAGAACCAGCCACGGGAGTCCGCTCCCGGTTTGCAGAAAGGATTTAGCTTTTCACGATTTGATCTTTCATCCTCGGTGTCTGCCTATCAGGAATCTGGTTGCGGGCGCCGGTACAGCGCGATGTCGAGGAGTGGCCTGCGAGCTCCATGGTGGCTCACCCGCGCCCACCAATTCTTTTAGAACTTCGGCTCCAAGTCCCCCAGCCAGCCCACCACTTCGCAACCCCGTTGGGCTCTCGGCCCGCGTCTCCTTCCGCTTCCGGGATAGGTCCTGCCCTCCACCGGAAGCCCACCCGCGGGGGGCGGGGCCTGCGCTTGCTACGTAATGGCGGGCGCGGCGGTG